ATGTTTTTTAAATAATATTTTTTTTAAATGTTGTATTCAATGTTACAAAACAAAAATGACCATGTTCAAGTCTTAAAGTCATCCTGAGGCCTTAGTTTTGGTTTCAAATTACAGAACATCATGTATGTGTTGCTTCTTTGGGGCTTGTTTTCATAGACCTGGTTGTTTATTCTCTCAAATCTGGCAACAGAGTGGGCAGGGCGCAGTGTCTAATTGTAGCAGTAAGCTAACGAGTACTGATAAGCTTTATTTTTGTTTTGATCCAATGCTGCACAACTGAACTGATCCAATGCTGCTGTGAAAGAAAGAAGCTATATCCATGTTGGATAGAATATCCAATTTAAATTTAAAAAAAAACTTAAGGGACAACTTGAACGCTTTTTTTCTTTTTTTTCTCTTAATGCATTGCATAAAGATCGGATCGGGAAAAATCGGTATCGGCAAATTGTCAAAATCAAATGATCGGAATCGGATCGGGATCAAAAAAAGGTGATCGGGACGTCCCTAGATATAAATGATGTAACGGACAATAAAAAAAACCTGTATTAGTTTACAGAAGGGCTGGGCAATACACTGATATTATTGTGACTAAAGTCCGTGACTAAAATCCTTCATCCGGTTAAATATCGTTAAAAAAAAATTGTATAGCATTAAAGTTGAAGAAAGGATGGTTTTCGGACAAAAAAAACGGTCTTTTCTTCAATTCCTGCAATATATATATTGCAGGGGGGAAAAAATATCGTGCAGCCCTAACATCGATAGCATTTTATTATAAGTTTAATTCCATTATTTGCCTTTACTGTATTATTGGTTATCACATTTTTGTGTAATCTAGACACAAATATCCATGTCAAGGTATTCACTTAGAAATATAGAGATTTTCTCTATATCGCCCGGCCCTGGTTTACAGTTAACAAGAAATAAACCAAGAAGAGGTTTGTTAAAATTATACTGCTACACTTTACTTGACATTTTAGGCACTGGCACTTCAACATTACGGATGCGTCTCAGAGGATTGAGATGGACTTTAACGGGTGAGCATGCACTACACGTGCATCTGCAGCCAACTGTTGGAGTGAAGAACGTCTGAGTTGAAATGGCACGTGGAAAGAAACTGCTCACTTGTGAACCTGATTATGTACAATGTTTAACACGTCAGGTGAGTTCCTTTTTAAGGTTTACCCTGAGTGCAGCCAACGATGCCTGGCTCATTCATTCCTGCTTGTTGTAACTGAGAACTAAATACAAATCGACTGATGGCGTTCCTTAAAGGCTACATGAGTTTTAGAAGACAGAATTTTTTTTTTTTTTACAACATTCATAAAAAAGCGATTCTGTTAAAATATGCACATAACAGGAATAAATTAATGAAAACATCATTTTTTTTTTAGCATACTAAGTCACTTGACGTAATTATTATTAGCAGTACGACTATTTACTTGATAACGTGATTTGAGAAAATCACTTTGCCACTGCCCTTCGGACACGCCCAGAGGTATTTGACTTACAACAGGCTTGCCATTTTTGAAATCCAAAAAGGAAAGTGAGCAGTCCTTTTGGCAGCTAACAAAAGGAGTCAGAGATAAATATAATATGTATTACTTTGTTTCCTAAGGAACACACAGAGGCACTGAACACAATTAAACATAGCAAGAGAAGATACTGTCTTTCAGAAACATGTTGTCAGTTTCCTCACATGGACCTGGGCTGCACTTTTCTGATCACTTTGGTTGGTTTGTCATTGAGGAATGAGCCGCGGCTTATATTATCAGCCGCCTTGTATTCTGGTATCCTGTTGATCAAACAAAACATTCAGTCCTAATCAGAAGCTGACCAGTAGACCCTGTGGAGGACGTGAGTCACCAGGAGGTAAGACAGAAATGAAATGTCTTCAACGAAAGCTTCGGAAATAAAAAATACTGTTTTACAATTACTGAAAGAGGGATGAATAACAGATAAATAAGAGGGCTGCCTATCCTCGTCTCTTGTACGCTCTGGAATCTGTTTTCAAAGGAAAGACCCCATGTCCAAGTCCATAAACGCGTTAGCATCCATGCTATAAGACGCGTCGTAGCTCTGGGTGTTCTGGTGCAGCTTCTGATGGTGCCGCAGGTTGGACTTGCTGGAAAAGCTCTTGTCGCACTGCTGGCAGGCGAAAGGCTTCTCTTTGGTGTGGATCCGGCGGTGGCATATGAGCTGAGTGGACACTCGGAAAGCCTTGCCGCACTCCAGACACTGGTAGCGCTTCGGCTCCGTGTGAATGCGCCGGTGGTTCTTGAGGGCCATCAGGTTGGTGAACTCCTTCTGGCAGACGGAGCAGAAGTAGGAGCCCGTCTTGTGGCTGTTCTTGTGGTTGAGGAGGGAGCCGGCGTGGCGGTAGGTGCGGCCGCAATGATCGCAGACGTGGCTCTTCTCCTCCGTCTCGTTGCTCTTCTCTGAATCAGCGATGCTCTCTGGAATATGGGACAGAGGGGGAGGAACCGGTGTGAGCATCCCGTCCATCCCCGTGGTTTGATCTATCCCTGAGTCCCAGCCGATGTCGTCTACGGGTTGGTCCCCGCTGTGTTGGTAGGGGTCCTGAGCCCCCTGGTGCTGCTGGTAGCTGGACGCTGGCTTGGAGTGCACCCCCATGTGGCTCTGCAGGTGAGCCAGCTGACAGAAGGTCTTGCCGCACTCGGGGCAGCAGTGCCGCCTCATCTGGGAGTGAATCTGTAGAGTGAGAGGGTCAGGAAATGTCTGCAGACACAAGGAACAGTGGTGCAGGCTTTCGGAGTGTGTCTTTTTATGGTTGAGTAGGGAGCCAGCGTGGCGGTAGGAGCGCCCACACAAGTCACACCTGCAGCAGGAATACGTTCATATTCAATGCCTGGTATTACACTGTACCCCAAATCATTAGACACAACACTGAACTCTTTGTTAGCTAGCCTGAATTATTTACTTGAGCTTTAAAAAATATCTTTTTTTTTTTCATTCACAGCTTTTGAGGTTTTCAAATGAATTGTATATTTCTCACCTTTAAAAGAATGTGGGAGAACCACATATATTTCATTTGACTCATAATAATAAGTTCATCAATACAGGATTTTTTAAGCTGATACTGTCGCGTTAAAAGTCCAATAACAGTTGGCTGATATTTGATAAGTAAAACAAAAACAACATTGCTAATAATGATTGTTTTAATTTATTTTTAAAAAAGATTAACAACCAATATATTGGACTGGGACATTTTAGAGATTTATAAAAACTTTTGAGTGTTTATTTTTAAAATATCTAGAAATATAAAGAATCAATGAGAAGCTAATATAATGGCTGATGAACGCCTTGCAAATGTATCAATTAGATCAGGATATCTTTGTTAAAAAAGATATAAAAACGACCCAAATGACAACTAATACACAAAATAAGACTTACACACTCAGTTGACAGTTACTCACATGAAGCACTTGTCTCCGCGCTCTGTCTGCTGCACCCCGGCTCTCGGGGCGTTCTCCTGCCCTCGGCGGCAGTGGTGCCTCTTCAGGCCGGACCGGCCCTGGAAGCTCTTCCCGCACGCAGAGCACCTGAAGTGACTGGCCGCCCGGCTGTGGATCCTCTGGTGGTTGTGCAGGATACTGGCGAGGCGGAAGGCCTTTCCACACGTCAGACACACGTACTTCTTCTTCTGCGTGTGGATGCGCGTGTGATTGCGTAGAGCCATGGGGTTGGTGAAGGGCTTGGAGCAGAAGGTGCAGCTGAAGTGTCCGGTCTTGTGTGTGTTTTTGTGGTTCAGGAGGGAGCCTGCGTGGCGGTAGCTGCGGTTACATATCATGCACTTGAAAGGCCGCTCCTCTTTAATCCGAATCATACTTGTTTGTGCATCACTTCTGCCTGGTGGTGCATCACAGGTGTGGGTAGTGAGCTTGTCAACAGAGACAAAGGCCTTCTTACATTCCTTACACTTAAAGGCTCTCGGTTTGAGGACCTTCTTGACTCCGGCCTTCTCCTTTCTGAGGTCCGCACAAACGTGGGCCAATAGTTGCTTCTTTCCCCTAAACCCTTTCCCACAGTTTGGGCAAGAATGCTTTTTCAATGCAAAGTGGGTGCGCATGTGGTTCTTCATCGCTAGCTGATTGGGGTAATTGTTATTACAAACGGAACAGTAGTATTCGCCTGTTTTATGGGAGTTTTTATGGTTAACCAGACTTCCTGCGTGGCGATACGTACGGCCACACTGGTCACAGGCGAAAGGCCGTTGGTCACCCGTGTTCTCAGATTTGATGGAGGTCTCACACTTTGTTTGTTCTATCTTCCCTTCAAATACTTGCTTGCGGCGTCGAGTGGAGGGAAAAGCCTGATTGGTGTTTGGAGTTAAGGACTGCATTCCTCCATCTGGCCTGGTCCCATTCATCTCCATGAGGGCCTGGATCTGGTTGTTTAGGTCTTGGATTTTGGCTTGGTTCTCCTTGTGCCTTTTCAGGTGGTTTATTAACTGCTTCTGAATTTTGAAAGCTTTGCCACACTCATTGCAAGAATGCCTGGAGAAAGAGACAAAGCATAGGGGTAATCTGTGTTTGCAAAAGGGTTAGGGTTAGAACAACTGTCTAAAAGTCACAAAACTAAAATGGTTTAACATTTAAATCACAATTTCCAACTAGCATTAAGATAAGTGACAAATATGAGAATTAGACATGTTTGAATGATGTACATCTGAACTGACCTCTTTTTATCAAAGTGTGACCGTTGATGGTTTTTGAGGGCCAACAGGTTGTAGAAGCGTTTCTGGCAGACGAGGCACCTGAACACACCAGTTTTGTGGGACTTCTTGTGGTTAAGGAGGGAGCCGGCGTGTCTGTATGAACGCCCACACTGATCACACTTGTACTGCCGATCTTTAGTATCAAAAGTCTCTTTGTTATCAGTCGTGTCATCATGCTGGGAGACATCATTCCCTTTCATTTCCTGTTCAGTATGAGTCAACTTCTCTGTCCTCTCAGTGGAGCAGCCATGGTTCGTAAGATGATGGAGGCTGATGCAGAAGATGCCGCAGCGGCCACAGATACTCTTTACATCCTCCTTGGCTTCAGACACGCCGCTCTTGTTCATGTCTAACTGATTAACACTGTCCACTTGCTCTTTGTCGTGTAGAAGCTGATGAGTGATCAAGTCTTGACTGTTGGCAAAACTTTCCCCACATGTGCTACAGATCATCATCTCCTCGGCCTCCTCGTCTTTCACCTCTTCATGGGAGGACATAGAGGAAGGTCCAGAGCTTGCAGGAGTGCCATGGGACTGTGTGTGTCCTCGGAGATGGCTCCTAAGAGCCCTCATGCTGGTGTAGGTGTTTCCACATAAAGAACACTGACAAAGGTCTCCATCTTCCTCATCCTCTTCAGCGTTATCCCCTTCTCCGCCACTATTCATCTGATTACTTCTTATTTCCTCATGGAAGTTTTGTTCAAAGTAACTTTGGTCGTGGTTACCATTCAGACCTTGGAAGTCTACATTACTCCCTGGAATTTGAACATCATTACTGTCCTTGAAATTGACAACACTATCATAGTCACTGCTCGTAGTGTCATGCTGCTGCTGTAGCAGTGGGCAAACGTGCGACTTAATCCCTGCAATGTCTGCGAATGTCTCACTGCAGTCTGCACACATGTGCCTCTGCGTCAGGTGGTCATCGTGAGGTAGATGCACAGTCATATCGTGGGGGAACTCCGGATTGAACTGCTCATGGTACAAAGCTCCATTGCTGTCTTCCAATCCATTCTCCTGATTCATATCAACTAGAGGGAAGATGCCATCCTCCTCCTCCTCCTTCTCCTCTTCCTTCTCCTCTTCTTCCTCCTCCTCTTCCTCCTCCCCCCCCTCCTCCTCCTCCTCCTCCTCCTCCTCCTCCTCTTGAGCGTAGAAGCCCTGTTGGTTATCCAGAGTCAGAGGCTCTGAGGAGAGCCAGTCTCCGTCGGCGTCGAAGCCGAACGATGACGACTGACCTTTGTGGACACGGAGATGACTTTTGAGGGCGGCCAGGTGAGGGAAGCTCTTTTCGCAGATGGAACATTTGTAAATCCCTACCTGATGTGACCTTTTGTGGTTGATGAGGCTCCCAGAGTGCCTGTAGCTTTTGCTGCAGATTTGACACTTGAAGGGGCGCTCAGCAGATTCTACACTTGAACTCTCTTCCATTGCAGTTGCACTGTCAGTGTCAAGCGTCAGGAGAGGATTGAGAGTACTTGTGTCAATGATTGAGGGTTCTCCCTGAGTGCTATTGGAAGGTGGTGTCTGATTGTTGGAGCAGTCCAAGTACATCTGACTGTTACTTCTAATCTGTTCTAGGGGCAGATCAAACCCTCCATGATTATCTATTGATGATACTGAGGGAACGTTATTAATAGGAGATGCATACAAATTTGACTCGGGCGAGGCAATACTGTTTTCATAGGACATATTGTGATCCTCGGACAAGGTGTCTTGAAGCCCAAATGACAGTGAAGAAGAGTTATGCATTTGGATGTGTTCCTGGAACTCTTCATCATTGGGGAATAGAACCTGACATAAATGGCAAAAGTTTACTGGAGCATCCTGGCTCTGGGGTGAAAACTGGTCCAGTGGTGCCCCAGTGTATGACCCCCCCACTGAATCTGGTTCCGTCCCACTTCTCGTTTTGTGAGATCTCTGATGGCTGTAGAGGGCAGCCATGTTATTGAACAGTTTGCAACACACGGTGCACTCAAACTTTCCCACTTGGTGAGTCTTTTTATGATTGGTCAGGCTTCGATGATGTATGTATGATTTGTCACACAGGTCACATCTGAAAGGCCGATCTGCTGCATCATCAGATGTTTCAGATTGTGCGTTATAAACAACATCCGTCTTGTACTCAGCTGGGCTATTTTCTGTAGAAATCCCAACACCAGCCAACTGCTCAATGGGGTGATCATTTTCTATTTCATCATCTTCAGGTATGGGATATTCCATGTCTACCTTCCTATACGAGCGGTCCTTTACTCGCCTGGTAACATGAACCCTCTCATGTGTGGATAGCTGTGATGCCAGACGAAAAGATTTTTCGCATTGGTCACAGGAGTACTTTTTCTGATAGTTGTGACTTCGGAGATGACTCTTCAGGGCCAGAGAGTTGGAGTTTTCTTTACCGCAGATGTCACATTGAAAAGAACCCACTTCGTGTGTCTTTTTGTGGTTAGCTAGGCTACCAGCATGTCTATAACCACGTCCGCATTCATCACATTTAAATTTTCGATCTTCCTCTTGTTGAAGGTGAGCATCCATGTGCTCAAGCAGACTGGGCATGTTGGGACATACAATGTCGCATTGTTTGCAAGGAAAACTTTTTGTCCTGCCCGGGTCTTGCGCCGCCATAACAAGATGACGTTTCAAATAACTGCACTAGACACACACTGCATGAATATTCAAGAGGGAAATGCATCAGATGCCTTTATCGTCCTTATACGCAGAAGGTAGGTATTTACAGTAAGGTCCAAGTGTCATGGGAGGTAAAACAGCAGAGGTCATTGAGAACCAGTTCTGCCCAATCAGGATTGGCTTGAATTCAGGAGAAGCAGGTAGCTGTTGTGGAAAGAAGGAGTGACAGTTAGCAGTTGTGTATACGTAAACAATAGTATTCAGTTGTAAGCATTGAGTTATGTATACATTAAAGAGAGCTACAAATAACCTACAATCCAATTATACATGTAAATACACATAAAGATGTAAAGGTTTATTCCTCAAACTATTCTTCTATACAAATGTACATTTTAACCATGTCAGTTAAGAAGCTACATTGAACAACTACTAATGTGTATGCCTCAAAAGGGTTTGAACCCTTATTTAAACCTATAAAAGTAAATTCATCTTTTGAAAAGCCAGCCACAGTAAGGTAATGTTTCATATGTAAAAGAACAATTGTATTTTCTACAGAACTACCCACTACAATGTGTCCTACCCCTTCATTTGCATTGATTAAGCATCTTAACATTACATAGTAAGTTGTCCACTATAAAAAGGACACAATGTTACAATTTGGTAACAATGATCAAAATAAAGCATCCTTTCTTTGTTTCCCGTTGTCCTTATTTGTACCCTTTTTTCTAACCATTACAATTAATACTTTAAATGGAATTTATTAAAAAAAGAGTTTTAAATTATCCGCTGTATAAACCATATATTTCCAACAGAAGACAAATAATGATAACGTGTATTAACATGCTGAACAAACAGGAATAAGAACAAGAAAAAGCAAGGTATGTGATAAAGTGTAATAAAGATATGATATTCATGCCACACAATCTAATGGGTTACAGAGTCGGCAGAAGGTAACCAGCCTCATGGTAAAATAGTTAGTAAATTAAATGTAGTTAGCTAGAAACGGTAACCATGTTTAGCTATATCTCTGCCGTAGCAAGCTAACTGACCTAGCTTTGTCAATAAACCGGGAAACGCCTATCTCTACTGATTTATTACCACAACAAACACCACACATTTTCTGTTCCATTGTTAACAACATCTGAATAATACCACTCATTTTTATTTTATTATACAGAGCAGGCAGGCAGGTTAACTATGATTAAATTCGTGTAAAACAGTTGGCAAACGTTAGCCCGCTACCAACTAGCATCATCGAGGCTAGCTAAACAAACATTGCACCAAAAAGCCAAGAAGTCGTTTTAAAACCGGAATCACGGCGTGGACAAAAGCGACAGATTAAATACCTGAAGAAGGGCTGGTTCAACGCTAGCCTCCAAATATATTACTTAATTCATCCATTTGAAAATAGCGTTATTTTTGTGTTAAAGGGCAACCCCGTTTTTTCCCAATTGTCTTTTCTTCTCCCATCACCATTTCCACATTGCTCTTGTTGCTAAGGAACAGGAAATGTGCAGCAGAGAAATACTTCCCCCTCGAGTTGTGACCGGAGGGGCTCAGCGTTAAAGTAACCCCACATTCAATTTAAATAGAAACATGTCTATCACACTGAGTGAAGTAAAGTAACTACATTTACTTTAGTTAGGTATTTAAATGTGTTGTTACTTTGTACTTCTACCCCACTACAATTCAGAGGTAAATCGTTTACTTGTATTTACTCCACATTTATTTATTACAATTTAGTTACTCTACAGATGTAATATTAAATACGACTTTAGTTACACCTGGAGCAACTTCCAAATATAACTAACTAACTATAGCTAACATATACACAGTAATTAAATAAGCTGCAACTTAACTAGCTTTGATAAACATCAATTCATCAATAGTTATAATCAAAACATAGAATAAATATTCTGAAAATAGGCTAATCTGCATTATCGCTTTTGGCACTTTAATGCTTGATGCTAGTACTTTTACTTTTAATTAAGTACATCATTTTAGTACTCATTCCACCACTGATGCTGTTTTTTGTGATACAGATTAAGCTAATCTCAGTTCCTGACAGCCAATGTAGGTTAGCCTACGTAGCTAAAGCTGCCATTGACTTTATATAAAAAAATAATCTGTAGCGTTCATGTTTCCATTATGAAATGAAACCCAGTGGCTTCATTCTTTCTGCTGTGAATTATCAAGGGGTTTCTGATACATTTATATGCCTTATCTTGATATTTATTTACCGTTAAACGCATTAAATTGTTACACACTTGGCTTGCTGAGAGCTTTCGTCATCATGGTCCTAGAGCCGTCCCCGCCCTGCAGACAGTCAATCCCCGAGACTCACAGTAAAAGCAGCCGTACACAGAGACGCTTTTCCGGCCACTCGATCAACTATTAATGCCCTGATCCAGGTAAGAAAGACCTTTTATTTTTCTCAAGCACATACGATACAAAAAAGGCGGCTTAATGTTAGCAAAATCCATCCCGCATAACGATGATGATGACGACACTGTGGAGAGAATTGCTGCAGCCGGTCCTAAAGCCAGCCATTTTGAGTGTGTTAAAGTCTTTAGCGAAAGAGAGCTAAGCGAACATGAATACGTACTTATCGTATCCGGTTGTTAACAACGTCGCACTGACTCGTGATCTTTGATCCTCTCGTGGGGTCGGGCACATGTCAGTCATGCAGACAGTGTGATCTGTGTCATTGCATCGCCGACTTCCTCTGGCATCAAAGCGGTTAGCTTATTGTCCCTGAGGTCCTAATGCCAGCCATTTTGTGATTAAATGCACACCCACATATTTGTGTTATTATGTTATTATTCGGATTATTTTATGGTCCCCTTTCACAGAAAATCAGCTATTATAAATCATATCTGTCATAGGAATGTGATGTCTATGGTACAACCACCTTATCCTCTTATGCTGCTAATGATCTGTTTATTTACATAACTAATACACATTTATTTCTCTGCAGTTATAAAGATGGCCTCTCCTCCGCCGGGCAGCCCCCCTCTTGCAGAGCAGCACATCCCTCCTGCACAGGACGAAGAGAGCCAACAAGATGAAGAGCTGGTGAAAGATCAGCCTGCGAAAAAACGTGGCAGAGGCAGGCCTCCAAAATCCAAACCTTCCTTCAAATGCTCTGCGTGCACGGAGGCTTTCAGGAGTCTGTCGGCGCTGCGGAGCCACAAGCTTTCGGCACATGTAAAGGACGGCCAGCCGCAACACTCGTGCTCTCAGTGTACGAAAACATTCTCGAGCAAGGCTCAACTTTCAAAGCACGAGCGCACTCACTCGGCCCAGCGTCCCTTTCAGTGTCCCGACTGTCACAAGGCTTACAAGACTCCCACAGAGCTACGCAACCATAGCCGCTCTCACACTGGGGAGAAGCCATTCGTATGCACAGAGTGTGGTAAGGCCTTTATGCAAGCTATATGCCTGAGGATCCACATGACACAGCACAGCGGGGAGCGTCCTTACTCCTGCCGTCAGTGCTCAAAGAGCTACCCCACCCTGTCTAAATTGAAGGTTCATATGCGCTCTCACACAGGAGAAAAGCCATACTTCTGTGCTGAGTGCGGCAAGAGTTTCGCAGATCCCTCTGTGTTCCGAAAACACAGAAGGAACCACCAAGGCCATCGGCCGTATGCCTGTGATGAGTGCGGGAAAACATACACAGAGCTGAAGGACCTGAAGAACCATGAGCGCTCGCACACTGGAGAGAAACCCTTCCTGTGCTCAGACTGTGGCAAAGCTTTCTCCCGCTCCTCCTCTCTGGCCTGCCATCAGCGCATCCACTCCCAGAACAAGCCCTATCAGTGTGAGCAGTGTGGCAAAGGCTTCACCCAGCTCTCCTCCTACCAGTCTCACCTCCGCACGCACTCTGGAGAGAAACCCTTCCTCTGCCCGCAGTGTGGCAAGATGTTTTCCGACCCCTCCAGTTTCCGGCGCCACCAACGGGCCCACCTGGGTTTCAAGCCGTACCCCTGCGATAAATGCACCAAGAGGTTCAGGCAGCCGGCTGATCTGGCCGTGCACGAGCGCGTCCACTCTGGAGAGCGTCCTTACAAATGCCAGAGCTGCGACAAGGCCTTCGTAGCGTCCTGGGATCTGCGGCGCCACATGCTCGTCCACACGGGGCTTCGGCCCTTTTCCTGCACAGAGTGTGACAAGTCATTTGCAGAGCGCTCCAGCCTCAACAAGCACCGGCGTGTGCACTCTGGGGAGAGGCCGTTCAAATGTGAGGAGTGTCTGAAGTCCTTTGTGGTTTCCTCCAGCCTGCGCAAACATGAGAGGACTCACCTAGCTGAGCATGCTGAGCAGCAACAACAGCAACAACAACAACAACAACAACAACAACAACAAGAACAAGAACAGCAACAAGAGACGGAGGCCGGGTCAGCGTCAGGCTTCACTGCCCACACAACTCTCCCTCAGTTCTCCTGCACTCACTGCGATGCTACGTTTGGCAGCTGGGAGGAAGTCCAGGCGCATGAGAATCTCCACTCGATTGATTCTACGCCGCCGACTGTTGCCAAAATCGTGCCAATGGGCTTGCACGTCTGTGAGAGCTGCCAGGCAGAGTTTGCACAGCTGGCAGACCTGCAGGAGCACGAGAAGCAGCATCCGAAGCCGAGACCTCACGTCTGCGACAGCTGCGGCAAAGGCTTCCTCAACAAATCTGGCCTGCGTAAACACCAGAAGATCCACTCCACCAGCAAGCCCCACAGCTGCCCGCACTGTGGCAAAGCATTCCTGTTCGCTGCCTACCTTCGCAAGCACTTACGGACTCATGCAGACGCCCCCCCGGCCCCCACACAGCTCAGTGACATAAACATTATCCACACCGACCCGCTTCCTTCTCCTCCTCTTCCCAGTGAGGTTCCCTCCTCCACTGTGGAACCCAGCGCCATTTCCCTGACCGTTCCCGTGACCGTACCTGTGACGGCTTTACAGACTCTGCCGGAGTAGCTAGTCAAAGAAGAGGGCCATTACACTTTTATTTGACTGTTTAGGAATCTTTATTACATTCATATTTATCCAGTGGCCTTAAATCTTTTTAGATGACGGGTCTAATGAAGTGTTATTTCTCAAAAAACTTTAAAAAAAACCTCATTAAAGTCTACTTCATGTCAATTGTTACAGTTTTGCTTTATCATGATATTGGAAATATGATTGTGTTTTAAAATATATATAATTCACTACTATGAAATGATGTAATCTGTTTGTGACAAACATGCTCATCACTTAAGATGTTGTGATTTCAGGTAAATGTCTTTTCAATCCTTTTAAAGCCTTTGTTCAATTCTTTGAATTCACATGTTGAGTTGGAAACAATTATTTGTAACTGTTTTACTTTGTAAATATCAAACTAATAATACAAGAATTGTCAAGTAAACCAAAAAAAAGAAAGAAAGTCGGTTTTTATACCAATTAAAAATGTGTAATGTGTACTTACTGAAGACACTGACATTTCATGCACCTTTAAAGCAAAAGCGTAGTTTTCCATTAGCGGCTGCAGCTCTAGAAGGTGAGCTCTTACTGCTACACTCTTTATTTCCATTAATGACACCTTAGGTACCTGGAAGTACATTAAGCAACACTTCAATCCATAGGTGCAATCTGTCCATTTGCTGTGACATTTCTGAATGCTAAAATTAACATGCTTAATGCATCCGTGTTTCCTTTGTGTTCCTGCTCTGCGACCTACTGTACATCCCATCAATAAACTTATTTCAACATGCAGCGAAATTATAACATTTTGAGCCTTCATAAGATTCTGTTTGAATTTACAGAACATACTCAGATCCCGATAAAACAAAACATGTCTTAAACTGTATTATGTACAGTATAAGCCAGATTGAAAGGGACATGATCTGTCTCAAATATGTTATCAGAAGTGGTTTGTTTTTGCTTCCAAATACCTGACACATTCTGCATTAAAGAAAGTGCTCATTAATGGCCCATTTCAGAATCATGTATATCGTATGTAATAATATTCAGTGATAAAATAATATTTACATGACTTCAATATTGTAGCCTAAAAAGGTGCAAATCTGTAACTCATAACTTAAATTAATAAATAGATTTCTCCAAAAAAGGTAGTGTAATAAGAAGTATACTAAATTGAAATAGAAGTATCCTAAACATGGTATTAAAGAACAGGACTTGAGTAAATGTATTTAGTTACATTTTTTAATTTAATTTAATTTTACCTTTATTTAACCAGGATAGGTATCATTGAGATTAAAAATCTCTTTTTCAAGAGAGTCCTGGCCCAAGAATGGTAACAGCACAGTTTCAGACAGTTTTAAAGTTACAAACAATTAAAAAACACACAATCACAACGCAGTCATACACCAAGTTTAGCCAAAGCATTTACAGACACAGCGGCCTGCTTCGAGGTCAGTTAAAGTTGCTTTGAGTGTTTCTAATGAGACCAGCTCTCTGAGTTTCAGCTCAGTTTGAAGCAGGTTCCAAGCTTGAGGGGCAGTGTAACTGAACGCCCTTTTCCCAAGTTCAGTACGGACCTTTGGTACAGTTAAAAGGAAAAAGTTCTCTGAGCGAAGCCGATAGGATCCAGTGCATTTTTTATTTATGTACATACTTAGATAAGGGGGAAGAGCACCAAGAATAGCCTTATATATAAGGATGTGCCAATGTTTCAGTCTACGCGTGGTCAGGGAAGACCATCCAACACGAGTGTATAGATTGCAGTGGTGCGTTAAGGATCTGAGGTTTGTGATGAATCTCAGTGCACCGTGGTAGACCGCTGTTAAGGCTATGGCATCTAATCCTGTATGCTCTCCATTGCTCACTAACACTTTTTTATTGACCCTTTTTTTCTGATTTGAAATATATAAATTATATGAACACCTTCTCACTATCTTTGCATTGATGCCTTTTCTTAACCTTATTCAGAGAATATATTTAAACAACAATAATGTATGATTAAATGTTCTTTTGCTTTGCCAAGTCTGGTGCCAGAGACTACATTCATTACAATTACATTCTCATAATTAAAACTTCACTAACTGTTGAAGGTTTATTAGTTGTGTGCTGTGTTTTTGCTGACATAGCGTCAGCTGCTGATTGTGTTTCTGAGTCAGGTTTTCCAGTGTTTTGGTTGGTGGTTCATTCACGCCCATGAGCACTGCACTGCATCAGCAGTTTTGATGCAACGCTGAAAGAAATCTTTTGAAGTCTCACTCTGAGAAATGAGTCTCTTTATGACCGTGTTTTATGTTGATACGCTGCGTTACATTATTTATATTGTGAACTATTCCAGGGATCTTCATTCAGCCAGATCAGCCAGTCAGAGTCAAACTGCAATCCTTTCCATTCATGACTTGAGTTGCTTCCAGCGAGATGAAAGGTGGAGGCTGACTGTTGGCTAGAGTTTATGTTCATTCTTCCGCGAGATGGACTTCCTGTTGCTGTGCTTCATGGTGTAGAGAAGTGCTGCACCAGCGTCTGTTAGAGACTGGTGGGAGGAGAGTCAAAGTAGGAATTAACAGCAGAAGTTATGCAAAACCAGAAAAGTATTAAAGTAATAAAACATTTTAATTTACAAGGACATGAAAGGGATTACCTGTGAGTCGGAAACAACTGATTTTCTCTGGAAAAACAAAAGGATAAAGTTAAATTATGCAATTTTAACCAACATGAAACTTCAAACACTGTATAAACTCACCCTTGTGAAGTTATGTATGTTGTTGTATATAGGCTCCATGGTTTTAACCCATTCTTGGTATGTTTGATGGTCCTCTGCACTGCTATTGTGCTCTCTGCAAACAGACAGACTCACTTTAAGTACAGTTTCTGCAGCCCAAAGAATACTGCATCTAATAAACAGCATGCGTTCAAGTATACATTATACAATTAAATAACATGATGCAACACTTTATTACTGACCCACCCAGTTTATTGGGCAAGGATCAGAGACACCCTACCATTTTACTGCTGATATATGTTTTTCTTTGAAAGCTTTAACAACAGTAAACCGTTTTAACCAGTTTGAGGTAATAATAATGGTCTTTAAAGCATACAAATGAAGAGCAAGCTGATTTAGTTGCCTCTGTTTCAATTTCTGTAATCGAATTCAAGTGTCATAATGCCATCTAAATCCATTATTGATCATAGCCTTTGATCCTTTCTTATTTTATTCACTTGCACTATTGGACTTGTCTTTATTTCTGTCGTTCTCTATGGGTGTATAGAACTGCATTAACCCTCATTAAATTCATCTATCAAGCATTAAGCAGTTCTTGCTCTACACGTTGGCCACACGTCGGAGTTTTCCACACCCAAACACCCCGGTCCTCACATGGCTCTCTCGATCAGCTTCCTCTGCAGCTCTCCTTCCCTCCTGGCGTCCAGGAAGCGTCCTCTGACAGCCAGAGCGGCGCTGGCCTGAGACGAGTTGAGCTGAATGATGGCCAAAGAGAGGGAGGACAGGGCGGCCGAGCTGAGGAGGAACACACACACTTTGTTATGAGAGTGCTTACCGCTGAAGCCTTCCCATTGTATTATGTACACACACACACACACACACACACACACACACACACACACACACACACACACACACACACACACAGGCCACTTTGTATCAGCTCAGAATATGAATTGCACGACCTTCATGAGGAATATGAAGCAGGCAGACTGAGTGGAGAGGTTTACTGTGTGACCAAATGTTAGAACGGATACATGGTGAAAGGCTCCTGTTTCTCAGCAACAGCCAGTCTGCTTTGCCTCAGGGTTTACTGAGATTGGAATAAAATAATACATCTAATCAAAATTGTTGTCCTCAGGGTGAAAACGCCTCGTTGATTAAAGATTTAAGAAGGTAATGACTTGTTTAAGATTACAAGGAGTAGGCCGTAAGCATGCAGCTCATTGGTGTGATGGAATCTTAAACCCCAAAAGTAAGAGAAGCTCAGTTATTATGGAAACGTCTTCATCACCTGTCATCAGTAACCTCTCGGTCTGCAGTGATCACTCTGAGCACCGTCCGTCCTCTCCTCTGACGGTACCTGATCTGCAGCTGGATGGAAACATGGCTGCCAGAGGCCGGCGCCAACACTGGAGAGAAGCACAACAATATATTTAGAGTCCAGGGTTTTTGGAGCACAGAGGAAAAACATGTTTATTATGTGTGTTAGAATGAAAGTACACTTTGTCAAATACTGTAATTTTCCCCCTAGACTTTCAATTGACACTTAACAAATAAGAAAAACAGACGATATAATTAGATGATATGACCCAGTACTACTAATCTAGTTTCAAAGTTAGAATCCCAAATTGGTTCCACATTGACAAACCAAAATGCTCTTACATGTTTTTGTTAGTTTCAATAACAGAACCATTTTTAATAATATATCATTAGAGACATGGTCAGACATGGATTCAGATTTAGGGTCTGCAGTGAGACAATGTCATGAATGTCAATGTCAACATCCATTGACATACAAGTTGTTTCTCACCCTCTGTGTCCTGTTCACTGGCTCCAAACTGGAAGGTGATCTCTGTGTCTGGATCCACGTTCCCCACCTGTCGGGTCACTTTGTGTCCGGCCTCCCTCTCTCCTCTCATGGGCCTGGAACAAGAGAGAACATCAGTCAACGCTTGGTCAAAATTTAAAAAGCATTCATGTGCAAAATAGACCACTTTTAGAAGTATTTTTATTGAAGGTAAATACAGTGCAGATGTTCTTTTGGATACATTGATTTATTAATTTCACTATTCATTTGTTCTGCCATTACATTTTCCCCTCACTTCCTTGTCTAAATAAAGACCCTAACATTACAATAATAATACAAAAATAATAACAATGAATAATAATAAAAAAGTAATATTAATAATATCAAATAACATCTAATAGAGTAAAAATAAAAATAAAATCTAATAAAGTAAAATAAAATAGATTAATTAGTGAAATACAATTAAATGTAATTATATAAAATCAAATAAATTCAGTGCAGATCTTACAGTGATTGTGGCAGCAGTAATGTGACGGTGCAGTGTGTAGCTATCGTCCTGTTCTCGATAATGTGTTCGAACTCTGAGTGCAGCTTGTTGGGGCTGGCTATCACCACCTAAGGGACAAAACACATAGACAGATGAGCAAAATAGTACATTCAAAGAAAAATACTAGCACACATAAATCTGACTAACGCTGAAGCATCTTACTGTCCCTCCGGTGCGATCAGCCAGTCGGCCCAGCTCATCCAGCCGACAGTCTGTTCCCTCAATGGACAGCACAGACACGGTCACACTGGAGGAACAA